TGTTTTGGGCCCCAAGTTGGATCTTACAAAGGATCGAAAAACCATGACATACTTTTCCCTTGGACCCCCAAAGATCCTGACCCCCCCCCCGTGATGCAGGGGTTGTACGTTACGCCACTGCCATCGGGTAAGTCAACTGAACATGTTACCGGCAGAGTTCGTTAAATACATACTGACATGCTAGCGGTGAGCCTCACCCACAGTCTTTTCATGAACTGAACCTTGAACTTGAAACCCAAGGGGGGGGGGGGGGTCGAACTTTCACAGGCTCGAGCAGGAGTCGTGACAGTGCGTGGAGGCACTTCATTCCTACTTTGTAAATATTCTATAAACGCAACTTGAATTAAATATATTTTGTACAATTCCACCGAAGTGTCCCTTTCCCGTTTGTGTTAATTTACATATATAACAAACTAATATAATGCATTCTTATACACTTTCCGGCCACCCAATGGCATGGACTCAAAGAGACCTGAATCATATATTAATATGATGATAGTTATCATTTTGCATTGATGACAGCATGCACATAGGAATAGGAATTGGCTAGAAATAGAACATAGGAATTGATTTTCAGGGGTCTTCTACAGATGAAGGGAGGGCCAACAGTGAAGATGGTCGCTGACTACGTAATCAACACTAATTCGTCCCAAAGGTGCTCTATATCAGTGTTCCCCAACCTTTTTATCGCCGCGGACCGGTCAACGTTTGTTAACTTTACCGCAACCTAATGAGGGGGAGGACGTTGATTGTTTATATTTAAGACTGTTTTGATTTAATAATTTTAATTTAATTGTATCTAATCGTGACTTATATAGCTACACCAAAAAATGAATATAAAGTGATTTTCATAAAAAGTAGCTCAAACCTAAGAAAATATACAACAGTAAATTAAAGAGAAATAATTGAATGTTTCTTGTGCGGACCGGCAGTATTGGATCCACGGAACGGGGGTTGGAGACCACTGATTTATAGGATTCAAATCAGGAATGTCCAACACGCCAGTACGTAAGTTGCGGCCCACCGACTCTTTTTAAAAAAAATTTAAATATATATGTTTTTAAAGTTTTCTTCATTTTGAAATTTATTTGAGGGGAAATTATATATATATATATATATATTAAAGGTTAAGAATAATTTGCTATTAAGTAATATTTTTGATAAAAGAGACTCATTTGATTTTAACATTATAAAAATGCCTTTTTGGGGTAGTAACCTACACCTATCAATATTTAGAAATATTATCTTAAATTTTATAAAAAGAAACAATGATTTAGTTACTGATAACATTTTAAAACAAAGTAATTTTGTGAATTTTGGCAATAATTGTTTAGAATACAATTATCCAAGTAAATTTATTTATAAATATATTTTTATCTTAGTTCATTATTTTATTTAAAACTCCTTTTATTTAGTTTATTT